CAGCAGCATCCGGCTGCCTGCTGAGACCATGCAGAATAGAAGCCCTGGGGTTGGGGGTCTAGGGATCCGTGTTTTGAAATATACTCTAGCTGATTCTGCTGCATGCTGGTCAAGAGCCATGGCTTTACCACACTTGACACTGCCCCGTTCATATAATCTCTGTAATTAATCCCCGCTCCCAACTCAGCCCCATCCCAAGTAGCCAAACCCCGGGCCCATTCAGCCCCTCCTGCTAAGCTTCCCCTCTCCCAGGAGCTTCCCTTAGTTACGCCTCTCTTAGGTACTTCCTTCTCTCCCCACCGTCTCTATAGCAGTCGTGCGCCCCCGTCAGCACCTTCTCCTAAGTCCCACCTCTAATACCCTGTTACCTCAAAGTTTCTGCTTTAAGCCCCGGCCCCGGGCCCTGAACCATGCCCACCTCAGAGCTGAATTATTATAAGCTCCGCCCCTCACCTTAAAATCCGTTCTCTTGGCCTGGCGTGGTGGCTCACGCCTGTAATCGCAGCACTTTGGGAGGCCAAGGCAGGCAGATTGCTTGAGCACAGGAGTTCAAGACCAGCCTGGGCAATATGGCAAAACCGCGTCTCTACAAAAAAAAATACAAAAATTAGGCCCGACGCGGTGGCTCACGCCTGTAGTCCCAGCACTTTGGGAGGCCCAGGCGGGTGGATCACGAGGTCAGGAGTTCAAGACCAGCCTGGCCAAGATGGTGAAACCCCGTCTCCACTAAAAGTACAAAAATTAGCCAGGCGTGATGGCGGGCGCCTGTAATTCCAGCTACTCGGGAGGCTGAGGGAGAGAATTGCTTGAACCCGGGAGGCAGAGGTTGCAGTGAGCCAGATCGCACCACTGCACTCCAGCCTGGACGACAGCAAGACTCCGTCTCAAAAAAAAAAACAAAAACAAAAACAAACAAACAAAAAAAGCTAAATATGCTGGCGCGCGCCTGTAGTCTCAGCTACTCCGTAGGCTGAAGTGGGAGGGTCGCTTGAGCCTGGCAGGTCGAGGCTGCAGTGAGCGGTGATCGGGCCACTGCACTCCAGCCTGGGTGACAGAGCGAGACCCTGTTTCAAAAAAAAAAAAACATAATCCGTCCTCTTCGCCCCACTCTCACGCAGTTCCTCTTGTTCTTCCCCAGCTCCAAGCCCCTACTCTCTAGAAGATCAACTCTATCCATTCTCTTTAAACCGCTCTCACTTTATGCGGACCAACCCCTAAACCTCTTTAAGCCCCACTCAACTCTAACCCTCTCCTAAGCTCCCCGCCAGTTCCCCGCCTAACTGCCCCACCCCTGGCTCCTTAGCCCCGCCCCAAGCCACACCCCTTATCTCTAACCCTTACCCAGACCGTCAGTCCTGTTCACACCTTTGTCTTAATTTTTCCTTCCAAACAGTAGTTCCTCAGGACAAGGAGGTGGGGCAAAATGGCTGCAGAATTTCCGGGACTTGCCTAGGATCGAGGCGGTCGGACCTAGGGTCAGTTTGCATGGAAGGTTCAATGTTTTAGTTAGATTGGATGTGTACTGGGAATACAGCTGACCCTTGAATAACACGGGTTTGAACTGCAGGTCCCCTGAGAAGCGGACTTTCTTTCACCCAAACACCGATGGAACACACAGTATACGGAGGGAGGATTTTCCCACATCCGCGGGTTCCGCAGGGCCCAGTGCTGGACTTGAGTATGCTCGGATCTTGGTATCTGCGGGGTTCCTGGAACCAATTCCCCACGGACACCGAGGGACCACTGGACTTTCGGGGCTGATGGAGACGGGGAAGGAGCCAAGGTTTCCCCCAAAACCATTCTTTCGCGAGCACCACACTCATGAGGCACAGGAAGTGGGGTCCTCTCCAATTCCCCGCACTCCCGGCAGGTGTAGCCGAGGAAGAACATTTGAAGGCAGGAGAGGATGGCATCCCGGCACGGAACACACATAGGCAGCCAGCAGGCAGAGATTTATTTCCACAACCCCTGCCTCCAAGGATCTGTTAGTCTGGGGGAGGGGGGCTGAAGGCAGCTGGACCCAGAAGTTTAGGTCTCCACCCTCCACCTGCTCCCACAACGGGAAGACCACCAGAAACAAGGGTGTCCCGGCCCCCTGGCCCAGGCCCAGCACCAGCCAAACTCCCTGCTCTAAACCTGGCCCAGGGAGCGATGGCCAGAGATGTGGGTCAGGCCGGCTCCCCCTTCCCCTCTGTCTCCTCCTCCTCCTCGGCCCCTGCTGTGGCCGGGATGCCCTCCTCGTCCCACGGCGGTTCAGACCCTGGATCTGGTGCACACAGGGGTACCCCCATGGCCTCCGGGTGCTTGCGCTTGGCATGGCGCCGGAGCGTGTTGGCCTCTGTAAAGCGCAGCCGGCAGATGGGGCACTGGTACGGGCGCTCTCCCGAGTGCACGCGGTGGTGGTGCGCCAGCTCGCCCGCCTCGCGGAAGCGGCGGGGGCACAGCGGGCAGCGGAAGGGCCGCAGGCCGGCATGGATGTTGCAGTGCCGCCGCAGGTGGCTGGAGCGCTTGAAGGTCTTGCCGCAAACCTTGCACTGGTGTGGCTTCAGCTCTGAGTGCGAGATACTGTGGCGCTCCAGGTCGGAGAGGTAGGGGAAGGCCCGCAGGCACACTGGGCAGAAGTGTGGGGCCTTCCTGGGGCCGGAGCCCTGAGGCCCAGCCGCTGACCCTTCAGAGACTGTATAGGGCACACCCTGATCATCGATCAGGAGGAGGTCGTTGCTGCCACTGCTGCCTACTGGGGCTGCCACGCCCTGGACCTGCACCAGTGGGGGCTCCTGCCCTGACTTGGGGGGGCGGCCCCGCTTGCGAGGGAGGGAGGAGGCCTTGAGTGTCCGATGTGAGGAGGCGGCTCCCCCAGGACGACGGCCTCGGCGGCCCCGGGGAACAGAAGGAGGTAAGGCCAGAGGTTTCGCTTCCTCCCCGGGCAAAGGCGAAGGCAACGGGTCTGGGCTGGGGGTGTCCATTGAGCAGTGGGGGGCTTGGGTCTGGGCACTGGAGCCAGCTAAGAGGAGAGAGGGGCAGAGTCAGTGCTCACAGGGTCTAGAGCACCCCTGTGTCCCCCAACACCTCGCCCATCCCTCTCTCCAAGTCTCTTGACAAGGGTGTGGTTGACATTCATCCAGATACACAATTTTAGCTATGCTGGTGGGTAAAACAGTGAGATGATCTTGTATCAGCTGATAAACAGGCACTTCCCTGGGCTCCACCGGGCATTCCTGTGTCTCCCTAACTGTCCTCCTGGATCTAGAAGTTCAAGATCAACATAAGCTCCCCCCGCCAAAAAAGAAAAAAAAAACCTAAAACAAAAAACCTCCTAGAGAGAACAGAGTCCAACTGAGAGCGCAGACCAGTATTGCGATCCTTGCAACGGAGAGCCCATCAAACTCCAGAGCCCCAGAGGCCTCACGAATGCTCTCCTCCCTCCCTGCTGACTGGCAGAAGTGGGGAAGGGGTTCCGGAATGGAAAAAAGGGGCTGGTCCCAGGTGATATTTGACCCTGACTCCTGGATGAGGAAATATATCCGCGATGTTAAGAGCCTGGGCCCTGGAGTCAGACATCATTCGTTCAAATCTTTACTCTCTGCGTGGCCTTGGGCAAGGTGTTCACTTCTCTAAGCCTTAATCGAGACTTTTGCAAAATGGGACACACAGTTCTATGCACTTGCCCAGACATGCCATGAGTATAATACCCACAAAGTGTTCATACAGAGAAGCTTTCAGGACACATTCGCCATTGTTATCAGGAGCAGCTAAGCCTCACACCAACCCTCTGAATAGGGCATATCTGTCCTATTTTGCAGATGGGGAAACTGAGGCACAGGAAAGCCAAGTCAGTTGCCTAAGTTCCTCTGTCAGTAAATGGCAGGGCCAAAACTGGAAACAGGTCTTGCTGACCCGAATGTCCCAGAGAATGGAGAACAAATAGACCCAAGGAGGAAAGGGGACATTATGAGGGCTCAGTCCTGGGTTTGAATTCAGCTCTGCCTATACCTAACAAGTGACTTTGCCTCTCTGAGCCTCTTTCCTCCTCTGAAAAGTGGATATACCAGGGTTGTCAGAAGAATCAAATGAGATAGTGGGCTTTAAAATGCCCCTAGTACACTGCCTGGTGCATAGTAAGCACTCAATAAACTTCACCAGCGCCACCACCATCTTCCCAGCGCCCACTCAGATACTGGGAGCATGAGACTGGGATGTAACGGAGGGGAAGGGGAGAGACAGGTGCAGTGGGAAGCCCCCTGCACCCCCCGCTTTAACAGCCACATAGACTGCGGTCCAGAGAGGAGCAACCACCTTTCCATATGGTTCGCTCCCACGGGGTAGCCTAGTCTAGAAGTCAGGTCTTTGGAACGGAGGAAAGGGGGAGACTGGTCCCCCGACCCTCCCCGTCACCTCGCCCCGGTGCTGGCGCGCTCATCGGTCCCCGAGCTTCGAAGCCCGAGCGCGGGGCGGGCCCTGCGGGGGCGGTGGCCAATGAGCGGCGCCGGGTAAGCGGGCGGCGGGGGCTGCCAGGAAGGGGGTCTGCGCGCGCGCGCCCGGACGGCTTCGCAGGGCGCGAGCGCGGGAGCAGGAACAGGTGTTGGAGGCGCGCTCCGGGAGCGCGCGGCCCGGCCTCCCCTACCCCCACAACCCCCATCCCGCCTGCGCCCCCCGCCTCTCGGGTACCTCATTTGCATGTCGCCGGGGCTCGCGAGTGTGCGCGCGCGCGCGCGCGCGGGGGCGACGGGACCGGCGCGTGGGAAGGGGAGGGGGTGAGGGGGCCCTGCCCCTCAGCGGCGGCGAGGCGGGGGCGGCGGCGCGCGGAACCAGCCCCGCCCCTCGGAGAAGCGCCGGGCCCCTCCCTTCCTGCCCTTCCCTCCCGCCTGCGTGCCCGCGGGAAACAAAGGGGACTCGCTGGGTCCTAAGGACCGGTCACGGCCACGCCAGCAAGCCGCGCCTGCGCACCGGCGGCCCTGGTGTGTCCCCAGTGGGAAATAACCGAGCACCACATCCCCAACCACCTCGAAACGCCTTTCCTCTCACAAAGCACACATTCGGGTGACCCAATCAAAGACAGATACCGAACGATGAGGAGCGGGAAAATGGCTGCCCAGTGCCCGTAATTAACATGGCACCGGACAGGCTTCGAAGCCCATGGAGGGCTAAGTGGATAAGATGGTGCCGGTTTTTTCCAGCTCTGTATTGCAGTTGGCGCACTTCACTTTCTTTTTTTCCGTAGTCCAACTGTACATCCTAATCAGGGGGAGTCCGAGCCTGTGAAAAAGAAATAGTATCTGCTCTCATTTACGTTAGCATCGCCTAGTGTCGCCACCAAGGAGAAGCAGCCGTGCTCTCAGCTCCTTGCCCTTAGTCAGCATGGCGCCGTGCGTGTCCCTAAGCCCCGCCCCTTCCCGCTGCCCTCACCCAACATGGCGCTGGCCTGGCTTCTTCAACCTCCAGGGCTGGGAAAGGAAAGGGAAAGAGGTAGAAGGGCGGGGATGAGGAAGGGGAGCAAGAGGGCGGGAGAAAGGGGGAGTACGGCAGGGGAAGGGAGTTGAGGCGGAAGTCGAGGGGCCCCCCGGGTGGAAGTGACGCTACCCCCGCTGCCCAAAATGTCGGCGCCCAGAGGGAGGTGTAAGTAATTAAAGAGGAAAGCCGACGGACTTCCCCGGCCTCCTGGGGCCTTCCCGGGTCTCCAGGACCCAACGCTCCGTACGAGCGAGGTGGACTCGCCTGGCCCCGGGGCCTGCCCGACCTGCCCCCCTACCAGGCGCCCAGGGCTGCACCTTTTAGGGGCAGGGGGAGGGGCACAAAAGGCCGGCTCTCGGGGCCTGGGGCCTGGAGCGGACTGGGCATGGGGGGGGCCCCAGCTCCTCAGGCTGCGGGGTGGAGGAGGCGGGGCCTAGTGGCTGCTGGGGCGGAGCAAAGGTTGGGAGGAGCCTGAGTTGGGCGGAGCTTAGAGTGGAAGTGGGAGGGGCGTGGAGGAGGGAGAGTGGATAGAAAATGGGAGGGGCTTGGGCAAAGTGGTGGGGTTTGATAAAGGGGCGTGGCTCAGAAGGAATGGTGGGTAGGCCCTGGATTGAGGGGTGGAAGGAAACTCATTGAGGCTGGTTGGGGAAACGGAGCCCAGGAAGCAGGAGAGAGGAGTTTAGAGTAGAAGGGGTGGACTTTGTCTGGGGTATGGCTTAGAGAAGTAGGTAGGCCTAGCGAGGGGGGCGGAGTTTAAGGGTGTAATTTGAAGGGGTTTAATGCAACTGTCAGGTCCTTATAATGAATGTGGAAAGGACTTGCAGGGGATGGGAAGAGACTTCGTAGAGAAGGCCTGAGAGGGTGACAGGAGTCCAGTGGATGGTCTTAGAAAGGATGTGGCTTCTTTAAAGGAAAAATTGGGTGGAGTTTTGGAAGTGGGTCTTAGTGGAGCCGCGAGGGGCTTAGTGAAGTCAAGTAACTTAGCAAGCATGGTAGGACTTAAGGAGGAAACCAGGAAGAACTTACGGGATAATAGTCATCCAAACAGCTTACTTGTTGCGTCTTTGCTGTGCACCAGCTTAAGTAGGCACGAAACATTTATTGCCACTGTTTTACTTAATTCTCGCCACCACTCTATGAGGTAGGTACTACTATTCCCATTTTGCAGATGAAGAGTTTTTGTTGTCTGATGTTACAGGACTAGTTCTGGTCTCCCTGCAAGGATGACTCCAGTGTGCTTAGTCCCAAATCTTTGCCCTCCCATTTGCTAAGTGATCATCCTGGAAGAGGAGTGGGAGGAGCTCAGAGGGGAGTGGAAGGGCCTTTTGGAGGGAAAAGGGCTTGGCAAAGAATACAAGATGCTTAGGGAACAGTGTAGGGGCTTTGAAGGGAGTAGGAAGAGTGGGAGAGGCTTAAATTACAGCGGGAGGGGCACTGAGAGGAGTGGCCGCGCATTGGCGAAGAGGGGGAGAGGCTTAAAAACGCTCCGTGGAGTGAGGAGACTGGGAAGTGATTAGGAAGATTGCCAGAGGAGTGGAGCAGAGGGAGAAGGGTTTCTAAGAGAGTAGGAGGATTTTAAAGAACAATGAGAGGGGCTTAGAGAGGTGGGCAGTGGGAGGCTTTCCCAGGGGACAGGTGGTGGGTCTGGGAGCCTGGGAGGAGAGGGCTGATGGGGACCCTACCCCCTCACCTGCTCCTCTGTCTCCTCCCTACTCCAGAGAGAGCCCCCACACACCACTGTATTCCCCGCCACCATGGATGACGTCCCGGCCCCAACCCCTGCACCAGCACCGCCCGCCGCTGCCGCCCCCCGGGTCCCATTTCACTGCAGTGAATGTGGCAAGAGCTTCCGCTACCGCTCAGACCTGCGGCGCCACTTTGCCCGACACACAGCGCTCAAGCCCCACGCGTGTCCGCGCTGCGGCAAGGGCTTCAAGCACAGCTTCAACCTAGCCAACCACCTGCGCTCGCATACCGGGGAGCGGCCCTACCGCTGCTCCGCCTGCCCCAAAGGGTTCCGCGACTCCACCGGCCTGCTGCACCACCAGGTGAGTCCCACAGGCTGGCCCCAGGCTGGCCTCCCTGGTCTGGACTGCGCTGGGATCCCGCGCCCCACTGTGCTCTGGGCAAAAGGAAGCTGGCCCAAGGCCTAGGCAGCCGCCTCCTCCCATTAGAAAATGTCCGTCGCTCCCCACCAAAGCACCCTGACCCTTGAAAGCATGCGATGTTTCTCATTCAGTCCCCACCAAGCCACCAACTAGAACATTCATAATAAATTTCCCCATCTGTGGGCTCCTCCCCTCCCCCTTCTCCCTGCCAGTATCCCACGTGCATCTGCAATCTAGTGTTTATCCTTTCCTTCCTTACCGTTTTAAGAAATAGGTTCATCAGGTATATATTTAATTCCTTTATTCAGTGGTTATCAGGTATATACTTAATTCCTTTATTCAGTGACTATCAACTTTCTCTGCACCAAACGGCTGTGTTGCCAAGGCAAGAGCAAATTCCATGCCTTCAGAGAACTTACTTTCCTTTGGAGGTGGTCAGTAGCCAAGTAGACAAGAAGCAAGAAAGCAAGTATGCAGGCAAGAATGTCCTGGAAAAAGATAAGTGTTAGGAAGGACATTTTAAGAAACAAAAAAATACTGGCCGGACACAGTGGCTCACGCCTGTAATCCCAGCACTTTGAGAGGCCAAGGTGGGCAGATCTTGAGGTCAAGAGATCGAGACCATCCTGGCCAACATGGTGAAACCCCATCACTACTAAAAATACAAAAATTAGCCAGGCGTGGTGGCGTGCACCTGTAATCCCAGCTACTTGGGAGGCTGAGGCAGGAGACTCCCCTGAACCCGGGAGGGAGAGGTTGCAGTGAGGCGAGATTGTACCACTGCACTCCAACCTGGGTGATAGAACGAGACTCAGTCTTCAAACAGACAGACAGACAAACAATACAAATCAATGTGTGAGAGTAAAGAGAGGAGAGCTATGGACTACTTCAGACAGGGTGGGGAAGGTTAGGGCAGGTGATACTTGAGCCGACCTGTAGTAAGCCTCCCTGCGAAGAGCATTCCAGGCAGCAGGAACAGCAAGTACAAAGGCCCTGAGGAAGGAAGGAGTGTGCTGAGTTCTAAGAAGCGATGGAAGACTGTGGGGTTGGGGTGGAAGGAGGTGAGGTGGAAGATGGGATGGGCTGGGTCACACTCTTATCTATGTGCCAGACACTTGCACAACCAGGGTGAAGAAAACCAGACATCTACCGATGGTCTTTCACACTTGGCTGTCCTCTCTGTCCCCATGCCTCTGCCTTGGTCAGGACTTCACATCCTGAATGTTGGCCCCAGCTTTCTCAGTGGTCTTCCCCCCTCCTGTCTCTCTCCCTCACATCCAGCCTTTGCATCTGTCACAGAGTGACCAGGTGACTCCTGCTTAAATCCCTTGATCCTTAGGATGAAAGGGGAGCTCCTTAGTTGATGCAACTATTCACAGCCCCTGAGGCCTCACCCCTGCCCACCAGTAGGTTGTGATTCAACTGAACCATTTCATGAGTACCTACTGTATTTAGGTACAGTGCTAGGCTCTCTGGGGAAAAAAAATTAGCTAAGGGAACAAAACAGATACAGTCCACCCCTTGTATGGCCTCGAGTCAAATGTGGGAGATGTGAACTGAACAACCAGGTTAATCAACGTTAGGTTGCAGCTGAGACATCTGAGGATGGAGGATAACCATATTCTGAGACTCATGCAAGAGAGATCTGAAGCAGTCTGGATCGGGGATGGGGTCAGGGATGGTTTTCCAGAGAAAAAGGTGAGGAATCATCTGCCTCTGGGGTCTGAGGCTTTCTGGATCCAGGGAACAAGATGTGTACTTTCAAGGAAGCAAAGCAGGCTTTGGAGGAACTGGAGGAAGGCCAGTGTGACTGGAGCACGGAGAAGCAGAAAGAGTGTGGCTCAGGAGAAGTCTGGAGAATGCTGGACCCTGGAAATACAGCTGTGAGCAAAACCAATGTGGTCGCTATTTTCATCGTCCTTAGCTGGTGGGGAGACAGACAACACTCAAGTTATATGTAGACACTAAGTGTGCTATGAGCCATAGGCTTTAAAGGAGGAGGGTGGAAGAGGATCACTGATGAGCCAGGGGGCCAGATTCGGGGAAGGGTTTCCAAGGAGCGACAGATAAATAGACCTACAAGCATTCCAGGCAGTGAGAACAGCATGTACAAGGGCCCTGGGACCAGCATAACCTTGTTGTGTTAGAAAGAGTAGAGAGAGAATGAATTTAGCGACAAAGAGGATAGAGATCTCTACACCCACACTGTACAGCAGGGACATCCTGTCTGGAGCCAGAAAGGCAAATGAACATCACTCCCTGTTCCTTCTTCAGGTCTGTGCCCCTGGCAGACATTACTAATCAAGCACTGCACTCTTTCTCATCCAGCCTCACCCTTCTCCTCACAGGTCTCAGGAAGACATTACCACACTCACAAATCTCTCTCTGCTATTCCAAAATCTTAAATCAACAAGCACAAATATCAGTACAAAAAACCTCTCTAAGGCACAGTTTTACGCAGTCTACAAGCCTGGCAATGCTTCAGAAAAAAAGTACAGGCTCCTGGACTCCCTCCTGGGAGATTCGATTCCCTAGATTTGGAAGTGATTCCCTGGATCTGTATGTGTGAAAAGCATTCAGTGGGAGAGACTCTGAGCAGTAGCCAGATTTGGTTCGAAATCACTTCTCTGCCCTAATACACCTAAGGGCTGTATTCAGCTCATGATAACTGGCTCGGGGTAGCGGGGCTTGACAAGGGAAAAGACCACACTACCAGGGCCGGCTGCACTGTCACTTTAGAGCTGCACTGTCCAGTATAGCCATTAGCCGCAGATAGTGATTTACTTTTTTTTTTTTTTTTTTTGAGACCAAGTCTTGCTCTGTCGCCCAGGCTAGAGTGCAGTGGTGTGATCTCGGCTCAGTGCATCCTCCACCTCCCGGGTTCAAGCGATTCTTCTACCTCAGCCTCCTGAGTGGCTGGGACTACAGGTGCCCACCACCAGACCCGGGTGATTTTTGTATATTTAGTAAAGGCGGGTTTCACCATGTTGGCCAGAGGCTCGCTCTGTTGCCCAGGCTGGAGTGCAGTGGCCGGATCTCAGCTCACTGCAAGCTCCGCCTCCCGGGTTTACGCCATTCTCCTGCCTCAGCCTCCCGAGTAGCTGGGACTACAGGCGCCCGCCACCTCGCCCGGCTAAGTTTTCATATTTTTTAGTGGAGACGGGGTTTCACCGTGTCAGCCAGGATGGTCTCGATCTCCTGACCTCGTGATCCGCCCGTCTCGGCCTCCCAAAGTGCTGGGATTACAGGCTTGAGCCACCGCGCTCGGCCTTTTTTTTTTTTTTTTGAGACACAGTCTCACCCTGTCATGCAGGCTGTAGTGTGGTGGCATGATCACGGCTTACTGCAGCCTCAAACTGCTTGGCTCAGCCTCCCGAGTAGCTGGACCACAGAAGCATGCCGTGTCCAGCTAGCTTTTAAAATTATTTGTAGAGACAAGGTTTCCTTGCGTTGCCTGGGCTGGTCTCGGACACCTAGGCTTATGCAATCCCAGAGTGCTGGGATTACAGGCGTGAGCCACCATGCCCAGCCAGGACATGGCGTTTTTAAGGACTGAAAGAATTCTACCGTGACCCCAAGCGGAGAGTGATACGACGAGCATTTCCCTAGATCATGACCTTGTAGATGTGACAGAGGACTTGTGCCACGTCCCCCTGGGAGTCCAGGAATCCGCTGTCCGGGCTAGGTTCTCGGCCCTGACGTTGTGCCCTTCTTCCCGCACTCCCAGGTCGTCCACACTGGTGAGAAACCCTACTGCTGCCTGGTCTGCGAGCTCCGCTTTTCCTCACGCTCCAGCCTGGGCCGCCACCTCAAGCGCCAGCACCGCGGGGTTCTCCCCTCTCCCCTGCAGCCCGGCCCTGGCCTGCCCGCCTTGAGTGCGCCCTGCTCCGTCTGCTGCAATGTGGGGCCCTGCTCGGTGTGCGGGGGCGCGGGGACCGGCGGTGGAGAGGGCCCCGAGGGGGCAGGCGCCGGTCTGGGCAGCTGGGGGCTGGCAGAAGCGGCAGCTGCAGCCGCGGCCTCCTTGCCCCCATTTGCGTGCGGCGCCTGCGCGCGGCGCTTCGACCACGGCCGGGAGCTGGCGGCCCACTGGGCGGCGCACACCGACGTGAAGCCCTTCAAGTGCCCGCGCTGCGAGCGCGACTTCAACGCACCCGCGCTGCTGGAGCGGCACAAGCTGACGCACGACTTGCAGGGCCCGGGTGCGCCCCCAGCGCAGGGCTGGGCCGCGGGGGCAGGTGCAGGGCCCGAGACGGCGAGCAAAAGCGCCGCTGCGGAGGCGGGCGACGCTCCTCCGACCTCGGACGGCAGGCTGCTCCTGGGCCCCGCGGGGGGCGGCGTGCCCAAGCTCGGGGGGCTGCTCCCTGAGGGCGGTGGGGAGGCACCTGCACCTGCAGCGGCCGCCGAGCCCTCGGAAGACACCCTGTACCAGTGCGACTGCGGGACCTTCTTCGCGTCGGCCGCGGCCCTGGCCAGCCACCTGGAGGCCCATTCGGGCCCGGCCACCTACGGCTGCGGCCACTGCGGGGCTCTGTACGCGGCGCTGGCCGCCTTGGAGGAGCACCGGCGGGTCAGCCACGGCGAGGGTGGTGCGGAGGAGGCGGCGGCCGCGGCCCGGGAAGGGGAGCCGGCGTCCGGGGAGCCCCCGTCCGGCTCTGGCCGCGGCAAGAAGATCTTCGGCTGCTCCGAGTGCGAGAAGCTGTTCCGCTCCCCGCGAGACCTGGAGCGGCACGTGCTGGTGCACACTGGCGAGAAGCCGTTCCCGTGCCTGGAGTGCGGCAAGTTCTTCCGCCACGAGTGCTACCTCAAGCGCCACCGGCTGCTGCATGGCACCGAGCGGCCCTTCCCCTGCCACATCTGCGGCAAGGGCTTCATCACGCTCAGCAACCTCTCCAGGCACCTGAAGCTGCACCGGGGCATGGACTGACTGCCAGGCCGTGCCCTGCCCTCCACCCAGCCACCTGGACTCAGCCTGGACCAGGGGACCTCAGTACTGCGAGTGAGGCCCCGGCCCTCCAAATCCAAATCCAGACACAGGCCCTGAAATGAGGGGACCCTGACTGGAGAAGTCGAGGCCACCAAAAACCCACACAGGCCCCAGAGCTGGGGGACCACAAACAAACAGGGTCCTTAGCTGGGGCAGGGGAGCCCAAATCTATGGAGAGACTCCTGAGCCTGAGGTCCCTGAAATGAGTGTGGGTAGCCCTAAGTCCCCAAGACATGGGAACTTTGCAGTGAGCAATGGGTCTCCACAAGTACCTCTCATCTTGAGGGCCCTAATAATAAAAGATGGGCACCTGCCCCACCAAGGGAAGACTGCCCCATTCCCTGAGAGCCATCATTCCCAACGACCTTGATCTGGAGAATGTGGAGGGAACATGTCCCTGAATTTTCCTAGATCTCCTCCAAATGCTACCCACCAGAGTCACTGATGACCCCAGAAAATGGATATAGCCGAAATCTGCCTTTCCCCGTTTTCATTCCCTGTACTGAAAGAGGGACCAGGGTAGATGCCCCCTGCCCTCTAATCCCCCCTCCCTGACTGTGGAATGGATCGACCTTAATGATCTTCCCCACCCCCAAACACTAGAATAGACTGGCCTGAAATACCCTTGTCCAGTAGGATGGACTGATCTGTATGCACACACCCCCATCACATGGAATGGGCTGGTCTAGGCTGTGGCCTGCACCCCACCTTCCTTAGAGTGAATAGGGCAGATACTCCTCCCTTTTCCTGTAGCGTGTGGACCGGTCCACGCCATTCTTTGTCCTGTGAACTCATCTGAGTGGGAAGTGGCGGACACTGGGGTTTCCCTCCCTCTCTCCGTGGCACCCATTGGTCTTTCCATCTCTGTTGGTTTGTCTGTCTCTGTCTTCCTCCCGACCCCAAGGGGAAGGGGGCACTTGGCTAGGGGGTGCCCCTGTGAGCCTAGACCTCGTCCCCTCGTCCCTCTCCCCAATGTTTCCAGGACCCCCAATAAACCTTGTCCTGTCAGTCGCTGACGCCTCATTTTCTGATCCTTGACTCTGGGGGGATGGGGAATGTCTTAGGAAAGACCACCTAAATACAGACAGGTCCTCGTTTTCTCCTGAGAAGTTTCAAAGCTTTGAATAGTACATGACCTTTAAAATTAGAGTCGGTTTAGGCCAGGCTCCGTGGCTCACGCTTATAATCCCAGCACTTGGGGAGGCCAAGGCGGGCAGATAACCTGAGGTCAGGAGTTCAAGACCGTGCCTGGCCAACATGGCGAAACCCCATTTCTACTAAAAATACAAAAATTAGCCCGGTGTGATGGCACATTCCTGTAATCCCAGCTACTCGGGCAGCTGAGGCAGGAGGATCTCTTGAACCTGGGAGGCAGAGGTTGCAGTGAGCCAAGATCACACCACTGCACTCCAGTCTGAGGGACAGAGCGAGACTCCATTTCAAAACTAACTAACTAACTAAATAAATAAATAAAATTAGAGTTGGTTTCAATCAAAATGAGCCCCGTCCCTTAAATACATGATCCACCTCCAACAGATAGACACGCCCCCTAGAAACTAGACACGCCCTTTAGAAGCCACCAGCCTTATAGGACACACCCCTTGGAAACCAAACTGCCTCATTACAGGCATGTCCGAGAAGAGGCCCCGCCCCTTAGACGCTGCCTTAGACCCTACACCAAACCCCAATAATAGGACCTGTTCATCAGAGAATTGGGGGTGGGGGTGCGTTCAGACTGTCTCCTGCACACTGCATTGCGTTCCTGTACTGAGGGCTTATTCTGAGTCAGGCACTGAAACTCTCTGTGGGGATCATCCTGGCCCTCCTGGGGTTTACGTTCTGTCGTGTGGGCAACAGGCATGGAGAAAAGAGGAATCAAATAAATGCAGAAAATAATTTCAGATCGTCATGAGCATTCTGAAGGCAATAGGGAAGGGTGGTAAGAAAGTGAATGGCCACCTTACTTTCTATGCCACCTTAGATGGGGTGGTCCACGTGGGCTTCTCGGTGGAGGTGGCATTTGATCTGAGCCCTGAAGGGTAAGGGTGAGTAAGGACCGGCCAGGAGAATGCCCAAATGGACACAGGAGGAAAGTGAGCTCAGGGAGGGAAGGATGAGATGAGGTTAACAGGTAGGTAGAGGTCACATCACAGCGAGCCAGGCAAGCCAAAATAGGTGTTTGACTGTGTTCTCTGGGCGATGGGAAGCAAAGTGTTCATCGAGGAGGGAAGGGACCACCCCTGCACCTTATCGAAATCCCTGTGTCTGATGAGTGGAAACGAAGCTGCAGGACGCAGAGTCAGGAGACTGTAGCGCTCCTGCAGTCCGGGAGAAACTTGTGGGATCCTAAACCAGAGTGACGAACAGAAATCATGCCTGTAACCCCAGCACTTTAGGAGGCCGAGGTGGGAGAATCGCTTGAGCCCAGGAGTTTGAGATCAGCCTAGGCAACATAGTGAGACCCTGTCTCTACTAAACATAACAAAATAAAACAAAAGAAAGAAATGGGTGGATTTCAGATGAACTCTGGAGTATGAATGCAGAGGACTGGTTGTGTGCATGTGTGTATTGGTTGGGGGTGAGTGTAATGGGAAGGGAGAAATCAGGAGTAAATGGTTGAGTGGTGGCATTTTTCATTAAGACCAGAAAACTGGGGGAGGACACGTTTAAGTAGGGGTTTAGGAGAATCAAAGCCTTCTCCCCTGGAGTTCCTTAAGATTTTTTTGTTTGTTTTTGAGACAGGGGCTCGCTCTGTTGCCCAGACTGGAGTGCAGTGGTGTGATCTTGGCTCCCAGCAACCTCCACCTCCTGTGTTCAAGAGATTCTCTTGCCTCAGCCTCCCAAGTAGCTGGGATTACAGATGTGCATCACTACACCCAGCTAATTTTTGTATTTTTAGTAGAGATGGGGTTTCAACTTGTTGGTCAGGTTGGTCTCGAACTCCTGACCTCAGGTGATTGATCTGCCCACCTCGGTCTCCCAAAGTGCTGGGATTACAGGTGTGAGCCACTGCACCCAGCTGGTTTCTTAAATTAAATTCCCTATAGGTTGCCATTCTCAAATACTGAACATACGTATATCCTGTGATGCAGTAATTCTACTGCTACGCATAAATGCTAACTCAAGTCCCCCTGTACCCAGAGACATACAAAAACATTCATAGCAGCAATATCAACCCCAAACTCATGACAACCAAAACGTCCATCAGCAATACAGTAAATAATGATGGTATATTATGCAATAGAATACTATACAGCAACCAGAATGAATGAGCTGTGGATAAACACAATATCTTGAATGAAAGTTACAAAGACATAGGACCCGAAAAGCCAGAAACAGAGCATGATTTCATTTACATAACATTCAGGTCAGGTGCAGTGGCTCACACCTATAATCCCAGCACTTTGGAAGGCCAAGGCAGGAGGATTGATTGAGTCCAGGAGTTCAAGACCAGCCTGGGCAACATGGCAAGACCCCATCTCTAGTAAAAATACAAAAAATAGCCAGGCGTGGTGGCGTGTGCCTGTAGGCCCAGCTACTTGATGGGCTGAGACGGAAGGATCGCTGGAGCCTGGGGTGGGGGGACGGAGAGTGCAGTGAGCCAAGATGATGCCACTGCATTCCAGCCTGGGCAACAAAGCAAGACCCTGTCTCAAAACAAAACAAAACAACCAACCAACAAACAAAAAAGCAAGCCCATTATAATGCACATAAAACTAAACTGTAATATTGTTAAGGATACATTGTCAGTAGTAAAGCATATAAAAAAGCAAGGACAACATTGTCCTATAAAACTCAGAATAGTGGGCTCGACAAGTTAAGCGGGAGGGGATATCCTGGAAGTTTCCAGGGTTGCTGATAGCTGATAAAGTTCTATTTCTTGGCCGGGCGCGGTGGCTCAAGCCTGTAATCCCAGCACTTTGGGAGGCCGAGACGGGCGGATCACGAGGTCAGGAGATCGAGACCATCCTG